ATACATGACCCAACTTGACCGTAAGATTGTGTTATAGCAGAATAGTAGGAGGCGTGTGTCTCTGGATAAATGTTGCTTACACTTTCAAAGAATAGTTATTTATTATCTATTATTATTTTACTAATTTCTCCCTTGTCCTTCTCCTCCTGATCTAACACCGTGGGTGAGGGAGGTGTGGGTGGAGGTCAATGGCCCTCCACAGTTCCCTGTCTTTCTACAGTTTCTATTGCGCTCTACTGTCATGCCCACATCCGCGTGACCCCACCAAATAATAAAGATGTGACTTTATATCTTAAATGTTACTCAGTTCAGAAACACAGGACTCTCATGGATTATGTAACTATCATATAGGTTTGAATTAACCTTGGGAGTCGTAGTTAACTTCTTCCTCACTTTCTGTACACCAGCGAAACATCTAATCATGTAGACTGATGACTGAACTGACTGAACTGTCTCAGACCGATCCAAGTCATCGGTGTGCTTCAACTGTAAGTCATGTTACATTGTCTATGGGAAAAATGAATGGGTTTTAACCTCTGGAAACAGGGGCACCCAAAACAGCTCCTCCCATCTCAAATCTATTGTGTTTCAGTTTGAAATACATCACGACTTAAGATAAAGATTTTCCAACTTCCTTAATAAAACGTCTGCTGTGCTGTTTAATGAGAAGATACTGTATCAGTAAAAGAAAACCTCTGTTCTTTCCTCTGTAGCACTTCACAGTGATATTTACAGAAGCTGAAAAAAATAAATAAATCACCAAGTGAAAACTGTCTTCACCCCCCCATTACTTCATTTATGTGTAAATCAGACAGCAGCCAAATATGCAGCACTTCTCAAAGGACAATATAATCAATGCCAATCCAGTCATCATCAGTTGTTATTCTTCCTCTGTGTACTGTGGAATGAATCGTGGTGGTTGTTGTAGGGAAGGAATATTTGGCCTGATTGTAGATGAAAGAAAAAAAAAAATCAATGGATTCCAGTTTGGCTGTTACATTTGAATGCTGCTTTTCAAACAGATATTTAGATCACTCATTCTATTCCTGTTCCAAAATTACATATTTCTTTCCCTTTCAAAATGTCCTTTGTCCTATCAAGATATGTGAAGATATGTATATCAAGACAGGTTGAATGCATTTTGTCTGCCATTAAAGTGTAGTGCAGACCAGTGCTAACCAATCATCATGTCTTTTTGTCATCAATCACCTTTTGTCTGCAATCATGACACGTTACGCAATTCTTAATACATCAGCCCCTATTGGAAAAATAGATATACAAGCACCTCTTGAATCTGACAGCAATGTGAAACAGAAAAGGTTGCACAGGTTGGCAATCAATGCCCACAAAAAACAGGGAAAAAGTCAAGGCACTGAAGTTAAAAAGCTTTTATTATAGTGGCTAAATGATTAAAAACAAGTCCAGCACATATCGACCACCCACCTGTCTTCCCCAGGGTGAATCACACTCACACTTACAGGAAATCCCATTTTTTGTGGACATCAATATATCAGTATGTCCTGAGCTGAGATAAAGACAGATAAAGTATAGCCTATTAATGGCTAAAGCACAGTAATAATTTATAACATATGTTGTGTCTGCATGAGGGATACGGAGAATATCAGACTCTGTCCTGCTTGTTGCTCCTGAAGCCACAGCAGACTGCAGGGGGAGAGATGGCTTCCTCTGTGAAATGAACCAGACGTGTCCAGCAGCAGTAGCTCTCTGACTTCGGGCCGACTAAAGGTGGACTGCTGTGCTGCTACTGCTTTTCAGCAGCCAATTTAACATGACTGACAGATAAGTTTCACCACAAACTTCTCCCCTCCAAAACAACCCTTTCTTTTGCCTTTAGTCAATCAAAACAGACTTCCAGAGTAGTAACCCTTCCGGTGTCAGTCAACACGAATCTGCCTGCAGACGAATCCTGACAGCACAGAGTTGTCAAGATTTTCCAGGACCCATTGGATCCATACGTGTGTGTCCGGTATGGAAGACTTTCAGAGCCTCTGCATTAGCATGAACAGCTAGATAGCAACGGTCTGACCTTAGAACAAGACGTTACCTGCGGTGCTGACAGGGAAAAGGAGAGGTGAGGTAAAGAGAGCGAGGATTTAACCTCCTTTACCTCTGTGTCTCATTAGAGGAGGAATGAGAGAAGGTAAAAACACGTCTCATCCACATGAAAACATCCTTTCTCTAACAAAATCAAATCCAAACCATCTTGCCCTTTTGTTTTTTATCCTGTATAATCTTAATATTTCTTCCTTGTCTGCTCTTTACCCCCCCGGCTCAACGCCACCCAGCGTGCCCATTTTTCCTGAAAAGGCCTCTTTTCTCACTGAGCCTCCTTCCCTTCCTTCTTTATCGCTCTCTGTCCCTCATGCTCTCTTTTGACAGCCAGCGCAGCACCTTTAATGGGAGCTATCTCCTCATTAAATACCTGCAGGTGTCTACAGCGCTTTGGCAAGGATGGAGAGAGAAAGAGAGATGGAGACAAAGAGAGAGACAAAGAGAGAGAGAGAGAAAAAGAGAGAGAGAGAGAGTGGCAGCTGGTGTTGTTCAGGCCCTCTCCGACATGACATATAGCCAGATTCCCTGTGCTAAATTTGAATTACTAATGTCTCCAGAGGCAACTGAACCAAGCGCAGGGACCAAGGGTCAGGAGGAGAGGTTGAGCCAGTATCCCCCTCCCACAGTGATCTGGATTCTCCTCATAGCCTTTTCGCCTCTTTGACAATCTACTACACAGAGGAAGAAAGACGAGTGACGAAGGAGGGCAAAGAGGGAAGACGTAAAGGTAGAGAGGATGAGCAGAAGGGGGAGACAAGGGACACGGAAGAGAGGTGAAGGTAGAAGCAGGGAAAAAAGTAAGAAACTGTGATGTTCAAAGTAGGAGGCAGCACGAGATTAAAGGAAAAGGGAAAAGAGGGGGAGGAGATTGAGTTTGAATGAGAGATAAGATGGAGGGGAAAAAGAGGAAGTGGAGGAGATGAGAGAAGAGAGAAGAGGGAGAGAGCCGGGCTCTAGGGCAATGGGGTTCTCTCAGATGCAGGACAAGACCATCTGGACGAAAGCGGAGCCAGGTCTCTGACGGTAAACACTGGGCTTCACTTTCACATGGAAAAAGACCAGGAAAAGAGATCCAATCACCCACTCCACACTTTTCTTACCACCATCCACCCGCCGTACCCCTCCCAATAACTAACTCCAGCCAACCGCCCTGCCCACGTGTTCGTGGAAAAGGAAACCAGACCTCACTACTGGCAATCTCATCGTTTTCTCCACAAAACATCCCTCTTCCAGACTGCCTTTTTTTCCTGTAACACGCTGCCTCCCAGTATGTTTCAGAATTGATTTTAAAGTACTGCTGCCTGTCTATATATCACATCTCTGCTTTAACAATATGAACTCTCTGGACCTCTCAGGTCATCTGGTGCCGTTCTGCTCTCTAAATGTTTCCTGGATTTAAAAAAATGGTAAAGCTTAGTTATTATGCCACACACACACAGTCGGTGAAAACTTAGCACCACAGGACCTGAGACTGATTCTAAATCTTAAAAATTACAGAAGATGTTATCTGTCTCTTCTTATTTATCTACTTTCTACTCTCCTTTAATCCCTTTCTGTTGTACACGGTTTTTATATTAAGCACATTGATTTTTGCTTGTGTATGAAATGTGCTATATGAATCAGCTTTGCCTCGCTTGTTCATCAGCAGAGCTGCTTAATTACCACAGTACAGCAGATATTTACGGGGGAGGAAGTGGCCACCAAGGAGTTGAACCAGCAACCCTAACTCCTCCCTGTCAGGAGGGTGGATGAGAGGATTTTACAAGGTAACTAATCCGTCTTTCTTCCAGCTCATTCACTCCAGCAAACAGTGTCATCCTCAAAATTACGTCCCAATGAGACACGCCTGCACACACACACACACAAACACACAATATATGCATAAGATAACTCCTACACACACACACACACAACTCTACCCCCATCCCACATTGCTCTGGAGAAGCAGCACTGCCCCTCCTACCCCTCTGTCAATAAGCCCAGTTTGGAAACACTTTAAACAGACTTGCACATTGCTTCACTACAAAAAGGGAAAACTTCAAGACATGCTCTCCTCTATACCCGCAGGGTTAATTAGAATTGTTTTAAACAGCCACTGCCATGCTTTTTAAACATTTATGGGTGCATGCATTACAACTAAGGCATTAACATATCCAGAAAGTTTAACCTCTTCTGTGCACTCTGGCTCCATTATGAGGAGCAGAGGGGAACGGGAGAGAGAGAGGACAGTTGACCTCTGCTGCCCCCTGTGTTGCAGCTGAAAAACAACAAGGGAATTTTCGATGAGGAGCAGCAGCCAGCTTTGGATCAGAGGAATCGGAGCCAAGCCACCATGCAGGCTGAATGACAATCAGCTTGTGTGTTAGTGATGAGAGAGAGATCTAAACCCAGAGGCTATGTAGTACCAATAAAAACATACATTATTCACTAACAGGGACATACGTACGATGAGCAGTAGTGTTGAATAAAAAGATGAGCGAACAGGAATTACAGTTGTGATCACTCCAAGGCAAAACCACCAATACTAACAAGAAATTTAGGTATTTCAACAGTATTCATTATTTTCAGATTGTATTAAAATTCTGAGACCACTCAGACTTTTATTAAAAGTCTGAGTGGTCCATTTTCCCAGCCTCAGACTTTGCATATTCTGGGGTAATCCAAATACTTAACAATATACTATAACAAATAAAATCCAGCATCAGTATGATCCAACAACATTAGGTTATTCACCATAGATATCTGTATTTGTCTACAATGTTGAAATATATCATCTGATGAATAATAATTTTGATCCAGCACCACACTCAGGATTATCGTTTTTGACTGTGGAGCCTGTACTATCAATTTCTATTGGAAATATTCTGAGTTTAAAAATGAAGACAAATAAACTGAGTTCAGATAGTCAAAACGGTCTCAGCCCTTACCTCACAGAAAAGTGTCAGTTTGTCGTCGGGCAGTAGACCGTTGGCCTCATCCAGCAGGAAGTCCCTCCTAATGAACTTTTTGAAACCCCAGTCCTTCCCCTGGACAAAACGGTACGCCCTCTGGCTCTCTGGAAAAAGAAAACACACAAACAAGGTGAAACAAGATTATTTGGAGACTTCTACAATGTGATTAAGCTCTGCATGTGTGAATGTGTGTGCGAAAGAGAAAGTTTATTATGAGTCATGGCCATAAGCAGCGGAGGAACAATGGCGAAAGAGGCTGGGTGCAGGAAGTATTGCCTGCAGGGAGCTTTTAACACTTCAGAAGAAAACAGAATCTCTCTCTCTCTCTCTCTCCCTCTTTCACTCTCACTATCCTCTCACTGCCACATAAAGACTAGTGGTAAACATGAGATAGAACCGCTGTGCCTCTTTGGCCAAGAAGTGAGAAATTGCAGGGATCAAAGCAGTCCAATTATCATGTGTTTATGGAGTGCCAATTATCTCTGACAGTGGCAGGAAGGATTCTGTAACAGTTGCAATATAAAGACACACGAAAGGTGTTGGAGTTCTTGTGTGTACCACAGTCACACTGTGGGGGCGGTCACAGCTATCTACAGTCACCTAACAGTCACAAATACTCACATACAAGGTCAAAAGATAATGGCTCCAGACTATGACTGGTGCAGAGATCAGAGCAAATTAAAGCTAATTGCCAATAGAAGGGAAACACAGCACTAACACATAAATTCAGCAAGTAACTGGAGCTCTATTGGAGGGATGTAACACCATTCTTTGGAGAAATTACATCATTCACCATTTTGTTAATGAGAAGAAAATGCTTCCCGGGACGCTGCACTGAGTGCGTTCAGTCGAGCCAAGCTTCAGTGACAGACCCTTTCTGTGTGCACAGACATCGTACATTCTTATCAGGGTCGACATGCCTCCCCACGACGACAGTAATCGCGTTTCATATTTGATGGGCCTTGTCCTGTAAAGGGTTAAATGGCCATACAGGAAGATGAAACCCAAACATAAAAGAACCACTAGAAACCAATTTATTCTTCTGGTCTTTTCATGTCCTCTTCGACATCATCAAGAACCTTCCAAGGATTACCCATACACAGGATGCTAACACGCATCTGAATGAATGGCTTGTGTTGACACTGAGCTGATTCACAATCCAGGAGCAAATCACTAATTATACACTGAAGAGCCATTCAGCGAAATTAAAATAGCTTGTGTACCTACTGATAAAGTGTAGAAGCGATGTGTCTTCAGTCCTCATACAGTATATCAACTATATACTGTATGTAAATGAGCATTTGTGCATGGATCCAAGCAGAAAGCAACAGGCAGCTCATCGAGAGGGATATAAGTATTAAGAGGGGTACTGACTTGCCTGGCAAGCTGCGATTTGCAAGAAATCCAATTCCAACCTATACATCAGGATTATTTTAATGTACACGTTATCATATTCCTATAGAAAAAAAAAGCATGGAAATCCAGACAGCTGTATAGGACATGTGCCTGCATGAGAGGCCTGAATGATCATCAAAAGACACCACAGAAAGTCACGTTTTGGCCCCAATTTAACTGACTCAATTCAACCCTTTTTAATGCTTCCAGTTTATCATTTATGACATTTAAGACTTCTGCAGACAACGTATATCCATTCACAATCGAGATTCAATTCATGTGTTAATGCCAGACAATGAAATATGATAAAGACAACCTTTAAATCTACCGTAAAACCCGGTTAAAGGGCACAAAGTAGTAGAAGACTCCTGTTAAAAGCTGACAGGGCTGGCTTTAAGCTGCTCTGCCACCTCATACCAAGAGGTCATCACTTCTCACACTCATACATGTGCAGTGTGTGAACACTACATGTGTTTAGCCCCAGCAGTTCAAACAGATTTCTCTTCAGGCTGCTCTTGCGTAGAGATCCCAACAGGAGATCTGCTGACAGATCACAGTGGGAAGCGCTAAGATGAAGTGTCAATGCTGATGTAAGATCCTGTGTCAAATCCCCTGTTTGGATCTGAGGGAGCAGGCAGCCAAAGGGGGGATTGGTGGAGGAGTGCAGTGCATATGCAGTTATTCCCACTACTGCTCATGCAGGGGGTCCTTCACTGTAATCCCCTGCCTCTACAGACTGTGTACGCAAAGAAGCTGAGAGGAATCACTGTGCAAACACACACACACACACACACACACACACACACACACACACACACACACACACACACACACACATAAACATGCATGCAAACCATTGCAGAAAAATTACAAATCTATGCACTATGCTTTTGACAGCACTCTATTTTATTCATTGTTCTGCCTCTATGTGTAAAAGAGGGGGAGTGTCGATGTTTCCAAAAAGAGTTTTTTAGACCAAAGATCTCTCAGCCAAGGTTGAGTAGGTCTGAATAGAGAGTCACACTTCTGTGGCTTTGCTACACTGTACTGTTTGTGGGTGGGTGGACACACAGCAATAAAGTTAGCACCTGGATTTCTCTCAAGAGTCTGAAGAAACTCTCTCTGCTGACTTTCTCTCACTCTTTCATGTCCTTTAAACATGTTTGACAAGACCTAGCACTTAAGACACAGAACCTCATTGTGAAGTCATGTTATTTAGGTAAGAATCGACACCCACAGTGGTGGGTGAGGACTTCCCCAGTGGAAGTATTGGAATTAAACCTGGGAATGAGGAGGAAGAGGTGAGGAGACGTGTGATGAAATGCTGAAAGACTCACCAGAGGACTAGTGAAAAAGGGAGAGAGAGGTGTGACTTCTTCAGTCCTCACCCCTGACAGTGAAGTGCCTGTGTGTGTGTGTTTCTGTGAGAGTGTGTGAATGTGCACATGCATACAGGCGCTGATGACGAGGGTGTGTGTGTGTGTGTGTGTGTGTGTGTGCTGAGCTAAGCTAATGCCATGCTGCCATCTCCAGTGGGGCATCAGAAACCTGCACTGGCAGAGAATCAACTGCAGGTCAGATCTCTGGCGCTCACTCTTTCAGTGAGCTAGCCAAAGTGGGGGGTACAACCACTCTGCCAGAATACCAAACAGAGCTGGACAGTGGTGGAGGGGATCGGTGCCACTGAGATATCCAACAGGAAAAATGTGGCTGATGAAAAAGACTGGTGTGAAAGAAAGACTATCAAGCATAGATAGGAGAGTGTGTTAGGTGCCACACCACACTTGTGTCGAGGACGTACAGATCTCATTAAAAGAACGAAAGGATCACATCTGTGTGAGAAATCATAGTAAAACATGTATGGGTACCACTCAATAAAGGACAGAGATAATTTTCATGTTTTTACCACGTTGCGATGCACTTTAATAGAGTGACGTTTTTCACCCTGCCAAAAAAAGACTGAAAGTGATGAGGAAGGTGAGAAAAATCAGGTCTGAACTGAAGACAGAGAGAAGAAGAAGAAGAAGAAGAAGAAGAAGAAGAAGAAGAAGAAGAAGAAGAAGAAGAAGAAGAAGAAGGAGAAGAAGAAGAAAAAGAAGAGGAAGAAGAAGAGGAAGAGGAAAGCAGGAGTGATGCCAGGCTGTTTAAGTGAGCAGGGCATCCATATTCAGGCAGAAGGCTCAGGGGCACGCCTGGCACACACAACGAGAAGGTCGCCAGCAGACGAGCTGGCATGTAGAAAAATAGCGGCCGACACAGCAGCCAGAGTCAACATCCCCCTTCCTGCGTGTCACTGTCCTTTCTGTCTTTCCTTCACACGTTCAAGTTCAGCGGAATCCCTGCACTAACCACAACTCACCGCCACCAACAGACTACAATCACATTCATTTCCCAAACTCACAAAACTTATTGACGTGAAAGGGTAATTAGAATCAGCTGAGAACACCTCAGTCTATACAAGTGTATATTTATCTAACTTGTATCAGAGTTTTAAAAGCTAATTTAAAACTATTCCCATCAACCCGCTGATTCACATTGGCCGGCAGATACATATAAACATGACACACAGCCTTTTAGAGAAGAAAATCTAATCCCTATTGAAGATTGAACTCTGTAAGATAGTGTCAGCACAAACATGTCTATTGACATTCTTTCTACCAATGTCAATACCATCTGATTATGTTAAGACTGACCAATAGCTTCTACTCTATTAGCCATGCTCCACTTACCCACACAGAATGCCTGATCAACTCCATCAGTTACTGAGGGCAACAGACTCTGACAAGCTCACACCCAGAGCTTCAATTAACTCGAACCAAAAAACATTGAATCTCCAGCTAGAAAATATAGAGGCAGCCCACACCGAAAACCTGCTGTAACTAGACTCTCCGGCCAACTCATACACACATGAGCTCACTTAGCCCTTGGCTACAACACAGCAAAAAAACTATTGTCTGTAGGGGAGACTTAACAAGGAGGCTATTTGAATACAAAACAGCTTGCGGCATAGGATGAGAACTTTCCATCTCTTCTCTCCAAGCTGTCAGAGCAGGAGTCTGCAGGGGGGCAGCTGTTTTCTCTGGCAAAAGAGAGGAGGAAGGAGGGGGTGTCAAGAGACAAGTTACAACCCACCCAACAGCCTCGAAGGAGAGAACCAGCACATTAAGCCAGGGAGAGAAATGATGTGGCCAAGCAGAGAGTACAGGAGTACGGTGAGTTGAGAGGTCGGATGGGTTGTGGGGAGTTGTAGGGGGTTGCGGATGCCACTGCTGCCTGAATCTATCTCCATTAGCAAGTACGGACCGTCAGAGGCTCCAGATACACAGACACACTCTCTAGTAGGGGGCTCAAGGGATGACTGATGCAGATGGGGAGTTTCATCAGATAATGTTGAGTTTTCCAGTCAAATTCTGCTGTGGTGGTACAGCCTTCATATCTTTGACTGTATTTATGCCTCCTCTTCTAAGTGCTGCAGGGGCACTTTGATTCTCAATATGCACACATCAGTCCTCATCTCACCACAAATCAAAATGTATACCTTCTCAGAGTGGGTAAAATTTAACAGTGAGTGTATGGCCAGTGCTTTTCTATTAGTGACAGAGACTGGCTTGTAAGTGGGAGTCTGCCTCATCCAAAAGCTAGAAAAATACAGAAATTCAAACACCTAAAAACACAAACCTCAGCTCCTCAGCACTGAGGGTTTCCATCAGTTTTGACATGATAGCAATGTTGCTCTGCTATATTTCAGTACAGCTTGCTCACAGTTTACTGATTACTCACTCATTTACCAAACTGTTCTGGCTTAAAGAACTCAGACTTAATATGCATTCTATTAAAAATTGTCCCCACAGCGACGGAGTGTATAAGCAAGCCGAGGAGTGACCTGCCACACAAACAGTCTGCAGCCACCCAGCTTTCTTAATTAAGGCACTTTGTTTTTATTTGGCCTTTTTCCTAGAGGCCTGGATTAAATTGGATTTTAAATGATACAGAACCAATAGAGCAATCTTTACTGCCATAATCTTAGACAGAGTGCTCACTAAACTGTCACAAATATGCTGGCAGTTGGGTAATTTTCTACTGTGACAGGGTGAGCGAAGTGGAGGGCCCAGGTCTCCCTGGGGGGATCGTAGGGAAGATTGGAGGAGGGCATATGGCAAGAATAGGAAGGGGTGTGCACCGTAGAGCACAGCATTTATAGCTGAAAGCCCCTCGAGACACAAAAAGAGAGGAGGGAAGGAAAATGAGAGCCTCTTCACTCGGTATTCCCCATATTCTGGCTTTTCTGAGGTCATTTAGGGAAGCGGTGCTCACGAAATGGCCATGCAGTGAAGTCATACACTTCAAAGGTCTGTTTATTACTTATACCACCGGAAAATCCTCTTCACAATATGACACAGCTACCAGCATAAAGAATAATAGCCAGAAGAGAAAGCTTTAAGGACAATAACCACAGTGAGGTTCAGTTTTCCTGAGCCTGCTGCTGAGAATTAAGAGGTGGTATCCCGACATTACAGGACAGAAGTGGAATAAAGAGAAGGATAAAAGGAAAATAAAGTGACATTATGAATGTGAAAGGCAGGAGAGAGAGAGAGAGATCTGAGTGAGAAAATGAGGGATGGAAAACACACACAGGGGGATGGGGGTGTCAGGTTCACATGGGGGAATGTTTCTTAGCAGGAAAAATGATTTCCCTTTCTACACAACCTGCACCGCAGGGGGTTGTACACAGTTTCAGCGCATACGCCTCCGATTCAAACACACTTCCGCCTCCCACCTCTCCTCTCCTCTCCCCACCTCGCTCCCGCCCCATCTTCCCTCCTCCACACTTCCTGTACAGTATGCTGTAGGGTACTAGGAGAGAGGAGGCAGCCAGAAAGCCTGATAACCAGGAAGCGGTCACATCTGGCCCTCGCTAATTCAATTCCACACAAGTTTGCTTTTCCTTCCCATAACATAACCTAATTAAAAAAAAGCAGGAATAGGAGGCGCATTCATTTCCAATTCATCAACGGGGAGCGAGGCAGAGGAAGACTTCTAAAAAGGTTGGGTCTTTTTTAATTAAAATCAAAATTGCCCCACGCTACTTTGGATTATATATTTACTAAAAATGAATCCAACCGGCAGTGATTACACAAGCCCATATGGCTATCAATACTTCACATTATTAGACACACTTGGTGTATTAGACACACTCCCCCAACTCCTACATTTACAAATTTCACTGCCCTATAGACACAGGTGTGACAGGAGTTTTTCATTTTGAAACTTTTACGACCTTGAGACATCCTCCGTTTTCTGCTGAACACAGACTTCTATGCAGGTTGGCTTTGAATAGTTTTTGAATGCCAACATACTGTATATCCAATGACACGTTAAGGAAATTATTGAAATGAAACATGAAAACGCGGACTCGTGTTAAGTGTTTCTGAGTGTTGGTTAGCATCAACTGGGATTGGTTAAGCTCTGACTTACCCATGGCTTTGGTTTCCTCTCCCTTGGCATTGAGGATAGAAAACTTAAACTTGGCGCGCACCTCGCTCTTTGGGCAGCTGACTAAGAGCAAGTAAAGTGACAGATAGTCTTTGCTCTCCTCATCCAGACCTTTAGGATTCACACGCAAACACCTAGAGGGCAGAAAAGGAGGAAACGTGTGAGACAGATAAAGCTAAGGTAATGTGATGCTTGTGTGCAATAATAAGATTATTCTAGTAATAACACTTGGGCTATTTGTAAGTATGAATGTATTTCAGACTTATTCTATAGACTGTTTAGGTAAAACAGTCACATCTATCCACAACACCTGTGCCAAAGTGATGATTTCTAGCTCAGCCTGTGAGTCAAAGTGTAGTTCATGATATGATAATATCATGAAATGTTTCCCTCTATAACAATAATATCTCAACATCAGTGAATCTGCAGCACACTCCACTGTATACTACCTGAAACCATGTAAGATATATTAGGATATTTGTTTAAGTGAAGTGGAAAATACAACCTCTTCTTAAAAAGGCTTTTTTTAAAAAAAAAAAAACCTAGAATCTATTCCCTCCATAATGAAAAGCTTTCAGTCTCACAGAGTTTCACAGACAGCTGAGATGTAGCACTGTGGACCAAAAAGCCAAGAGTCTTTTTAACACTAACATGTGCCAATATTTCATCGTCAAACAGCAATAAACCTGCAAAAGGCTGGACTGCCACAAGCAAAACATTTCACAGCTCAAGCATGTACACGAGGGGGAGGAAACACCTCTGCTTCAGTAAGGCAACAGAAAGAACCTCAACACTGCTGAAGTGCTGTAGTATCAATATGGTGTTGTAACCAAGACTGTAACATAACATCAATTATTTGACCCATCTCTGCTTCTGACTAGAAGATGCAGCTTTCTAGCTAACCTCCCTGAACTTCAAATGAGAGGAGAGATTTCTAAATGCATCCACTTTCTTTGTATGTCAGGCACATCGACAATATATCTTAACCAAGCTATTCAGCTAAGATTTGCTGTGTTCAGTGCATCAATACTGCAGCTAAGTCTTAGTCTATTTATGATTACAGAGAGCAGTCTCACAAAAGAGTCCTAGCTTTGCACAATGTATTTGTAACATATGGTTTGTTTGTTGCACATGCTGTTACACGGTTTTAGAGCAGTAAAATGAAACACACGCGCATATGGACAATTACTTAACATGTGAAGCATCTGGAAGCTGGGATTCTGCTAAACCGCATGACACAAAACATTTGCAAAAGTTCTCATCAATCCAGTTAAAAGTCCTGTTCCCCGGACACCTCCTCCAGCTCCTCGAGAGGGGATCCCTGGGTACTGTCAGACCCGGTGGGATATGTAACCCATCCAGCATGTTTTAGGTCTTCACCATCGTGTCTTCCTTTGTGGGCATGCTTCCAGAGTGAGGTGTCCAGGAAGCATCCTGATCAGGACAAGCGACCTCAACTCCCGCCAGAGCAAACCAGAGCAGACTGAAGTCATTGCTCCGACTGAATCTGAGTGTTTACAACTGGCCGGAGCCTCTATTCCACCACAGTGGCATAAGCTTTCCATGGAGGGTGAGCTCTGTGACACCTTATGTAGAGTACACATATCCAAAGGCACTGTCCCAGACCTCCGCATGACACTGAGGAGATGCAACAACCAATATCCAGAGCCTTTAGCATTCATTTATCCATTTTCTGCTGCTTATCTAGGTCCATATCCCGGTGGAAGAACACTAAGCAAAGTAACCCGTACGTCCTTCTACCCTGCCACATTGTCCATCTCTTCCTGGGGGATCCCAGGGAGGCATCTGACTCAGATGCTCGCACCACCTCAACTGACTCCTTTCCACGCCACAGAGCAGTGCAGCGCTTTACTCTGCTCTGGAGGGAACTCGGAGTAAAGTTGCTTTTCCATTTCAGGGCAGATCTCATCCACCTCTGGCGCCTTGCCACTGCATACCGCTGTTTTGACTGCCTCAGTGACCTCTGCCTGAAGAAACGGTCAGGGCTTCCCCAAAGTTTTCTAACTCTGCTTTGTCTACCGAGATGTTTTTCATGAAGGATAGTTCACTGACTATACATTTAAAAATGTTTCACTGTCTCAGTATGCTTACATGTATGTTTAACACATGTATCTTGGTATTTACCATGATTTTATTTTGCCTATTACAACGTGAGAAAAAGAAGATGCAGGCAGATTTGACTAAATTCAAGCATGACTAAGAGCTACAAGAATTATTATTCCGAACACGCATGCAAGTAAACATCAGTGCTAATACAGACTAGATAAAGGCACATGATACCACTGAAGCAAAAGCATCTGGATGCTGATGGATGTAATCTCTAGAAAACAATGTTCGTCCTCTTAAATGCGACAAGTGGACAAACCTTGAAAGAGTTGTTTCAGAAAATGTTCTCAAAGAACTCCTTCCAATTTCAGCATCAGACAGCTCCAATGAGCAGCCTTCCACTAACCATTTGAGTTTGTCGTTGGCTCCGGAGGAGAAAGTGGAGCTTTTGATGACCTCTCCCATCTCCTCGCGACAGAAGCTGAAGTTGTTGATGGTCCACATGTAGGAGAATTTCACCACTTTGATCTGCAGAGAAAAAGACACAGGAAGGGCTGAAACCAGATCTCTTTATTTATATATTTATCTATTCTATATGGGTAAGTGGTGTTTGGTCAGCCAGGACTTCAAAACCACACATCAAAACTGCCTTTCATCTTAATAAACACTGACAACAAACGAAGGGAAAGAAGAAAGGATATTGTAAAAGCAGCAGCAGAAAAAAAAAAAAAACAATTTTGCAAGGACGGAGAGAAGATGAAAAAACAGACATCATCAATGACAGACTTTATCTACCTTGGTTCTTAACAGGAGATATCTGAAGTAGCAGAGACTATATCATATAGGTAACCTTTAAAACAAAGAAAACAACTAAAATGACGCCAATTTTTGGTGACAAACAAATTATGCTTGTAATACTGAATCAGTCAGGAAAACACAGTGACCGGCTCGTGTCCATTCCGCAGCTCACTGTCACATAAAATAAGGTTTTCTGATTAATCACATTCATCTACAGCGAGTCTTCTCTGTCTTGGCATTCACATGTAATGCCCACGTCAACAGAGCAAGAGTGGAACTGATTTTCACTCAAAAAAATCAAACTTTTCTAAGTCTTACTCACAGTCAGCTGACACAACACAAAAAAGTGGATTATTAGTGTTATCCTCTCTTCTGTGTTGCAAGCAGCCCTCAGGTAGCACATCTATCAGTAAATCAGTCACAGGTACAGTATCTCACCTTGTTTTCAGTGATAATTGCGTGTTTAATCAATACGAGCAATTACACGTTTATTAGCAAATTTCCTAATTACAGCACAGTGCCGGAAGTGAAAGCGTGGAGGAGTGCTGGAAATCAAGCACCATCACAAATTTGTATATGTTATGCAGTCAACACACATCCAGAAGTCAAGCATCCCTCCTCACCTGAGTGTAACACCAGCTCTCAGCCACGGGGCCGCTGGACATTTCCGCCGGGGAGGGGGGGCTCGGGACTCTGGACATCGCCAGCCTTGACACAGAGAGAAGCTGAACGGGTCCCGAGCACCAGCCAGGTGTTGGGTGAGGTGGTATTGGGTGTGCAGGGGAGAGTGGAGGGCCAATAATAAGTCAAGCTGGCAGGCTCCTCAACAACACCTGCCGTACGGAGGGCTGCAGAGAGATGAAGCCAATACCACAGGACGTCCAGACTCCAAAATAGCTACAGGCACCCTATAGAGACACGGAAATACAGTCATTAAAACAACACTGACTCCATACGAGTGAGGTTCATAACTATGAAAAGCTGTGACCTTGTGTGTGTGTGTGTGTGTGTTTGCTGGTGTGTGTGTCTGTGCTTTTCAAGGCAATACCTAAGTGAATGGTGAGTGTAATTGAGCGGTATTTCCCAGTAAGTATGGGGCTCTGATTTTATTTATTTCAAAACAGGCTTCAGCATTCAAAGCACAGCAGCAGCGGTGCACTCTGCTTCAGTGAGGGAAGCCTTCCTTTATCTGCACGTGGTTTCGTCTGTGTTTTGCTTTGAGAGGAGCAGACTGCTGCGCCAGCCATCTGATTCCAGCCAGGCTGCACCCGTCCACTGTGGCTCTAAGTGAAGGGCAAGACTTAAGACTTTCATCTCAAGCTGCCAGGCTGTACTCATACACACACGCGCGCGCACACACACACACACACACACACACACCCAAGGTCATGCAGTACTTTCAAAAGGCAGTAATGGCTGGGAAAGGTTAAAAATCTTTTTTATAAGCACCCGCTTCATCCTGAAATGGTGCAATCAAGATTTACACTGCAATGGCCACATCACCTCTCAGTTTCTGTTTGTGGCAAAGGGAAACATCCTCATTATTTTTGTCTCATTTTTGTTCCTTTGCTACACAAGCAGCCTCATGGGAAAATCTTGGTGGAGAAGAATAAAAAATAAAAAAGGCACGAGCGACAGTTTGGTTTCAAAGTTACATTTCTCTACTGAGTAAATCTCTCATTTCCGCTGGTTTCATATCCCCTGCTCCTCTCAAGTTCCTCTCCACACATTTCATACCTAAGTCATCACACGGTCTCAGGATCTGGCTTTTCCCACTCAACCTGCACCCCCCCCACACACACACACACACACACACACAGACCCCCGATCTCCTGCCAAAGAAACCCTTCCACTCTGCTGCTTAATTAGTGGCTGATTGAAAGAGAAGTTCAGGACCTGAGAAAACTTGGCAGAAACTGGAGTATCAGACCGAGAGCGCAGAGAGAGACAGAGCGAGAAATGAGAGGAAGGTAAAAAAAAAAAAAAACAGTGAGAGAGACCTCTGTCTTCGCAAGTGGATAGGAGACAGGAGAGGCGACACCCAGACCTCGACAACTCCAGACCGAGACAAGGCTTAATTAATGTTCAGAGATAACGCCTGCATCTGATCTTCCTCAATTCAGTGCCCCCTTTTCTTCTTTTGTGCTATTTGTATCTGATGAAAAACACTGGTGGCATTTTCGCTCAGTAAAACAATAAAATATTAATCACAAAAGTTGGGAGAACAAGGCTGCCCTGATTTGCAATTTAAATTACCTGAGACTTCCTGGCAATTAATTATAGTCTATATGAGTGAGTGAGGGCGTGTTCGCCAATGTGTGCGTGTACGCATGTGTGTGTGTGTTATCATCCGGGCTTTGTTTCACAGCTTATCCGAAGCACAATTTACCAAGTGCTTTTCTTGTATCCTGTCCCTTAAAGAGCGCCATGAATGCCAAGTAATCACAGGGAATCAATTTAAGAAAACATGACAACACTGGCAGCACTGCTAACAGCCTCACAGTTTTCTAAATAGACCCAGATGACACCTAACCAGAATAAAGCTAAAGACGTTTTTTTTTTCATCCTTTTCATGACAAACATCAAGAGCACAGCGGCAGGAGGAGAGCAGCAATAACAGCTCTGAGAGACGGAGGAGATGTGTGCTAATCATCGGACTCCCTCAGCAGAAATGTCTTAAGACAGTTCATTTGTCATGGGAAATCATATGATGACAACGTGAACGGGAAGAATGCCTAATAGGTGATAATTCGTGCAGCACAGAGAAAATAAATATTGTCACATTATAGTGTGTGCCTGGCAGAGATTTACAAAGCCTGTGTCCCCCCACCCACCCCCCAAGGGGGGGGGGCATTAAAAGACAAAGTAAGGAGGTAACGGAGTGCTATGCTTCAGATAAGAGTTGAGGTGTTCGTTGCAGCTAGTTGGCTCCATCAGCACCTTGTACGGCGGATAAAAAAGTAGTAGGAATTTTGATGAGGTAAAGTTTACGTATAATACAGAAAGAGAGCAAAAAAGTTCAGATTCTACGCAGTGTACGCCATTATCTCTTCTCCAGCAAATACAGCAAACTGTAGAAGCAGACGACAGCCCATCGTGTCGCATACATGCACACAAAGGCCCCGCAGTGGATACGACACTGTGAAGCCTGTAATGTTCTTCTTGTTGGGATTCAAAACAGTTTCTTAGGCTGCTGATATATTGAATTAAATTATAGTAGAGCGTGCATTTTTTCCTCAAGTCTAAACAGCAACAGAACAGCTTTACAATGATATTTATTACACAGCTATTTCATTTAATTGCATTAGATTCGAGACTGAGTCCACCTTTGTACAAAGAACAAACTGATGCAATATTGTGATTTAATGTAAGACATCAGGCTGCAACTAATGACTTTTTGTTGGGAATTATCTGTATATAATTTGTTTTTATTAATAGTTTGCATGTTTAGTCTATAAAACACCAGATTACAAAAAAAGACCATCACAGTATTCCAGAGTCTGAGTTTGTTTTTTTTTTTTGACTATACAATGATATAAAACAAAGAAAATCAACACATCCACACACTTCAGAAGCTGGAACTAGAGATTTATTTTCTGCATTTCTACTTAATAAATGACTAAAATGATTAATTATTATCAAAAATGTTGTGATGAATTTTTTATCAACTGACTGATTGTTTTATTTGCTGATATTGTTTCAGCAATAATATGACATACGTATCCTTACATTGTCCCTTTGTCACAGCCACCAAAACTTGTTCGCTGATGAAAAATGTCATTGTTACATCTTCAAACTATGAATTTGCACACACCATCGCCAGTAAAACAGAAGAAATTACAGTTTGAGCTAAAT